TAAGAAGCAAGCGGTTGTGGCAAGGTCAAGTGCAGAGGCTGAGTATAGATCCATGGCTCGTGGTGTCTCAGAACTTCTTTGGGTTAGATCTCTTTTGAGTGAGATTGGGGTGAAAGCAGAGGAACCTATGATGTTATACTGTGACAATCAGGCTGCAATCAATATTGCCCACGATCCAATTCAACATGATAGGACAAAACACATTGAAGTTGATAGACACTTTATAAGAGAAAGGGTAACAACCGGAGAAGTTTGTTTGCCTTATGTCTCTTCAGAGTTGCAGTTGGCTGATATTCTCACTAAAGGGGTGACAAGGAACAAGCTTGAACATGATCTACRCAAGTTGGGAATGTGTGACATTTACTCCAACTTGAGGGGGAGTGTTGAAGATTAATTAGTTTTATGATGTTTTTCTGAGTAGATGTTTATGATAGTTGTTAGATAGGAGGTGGGGACCACAGTAGTTATGTGAGTCCAAATTTTATTATGTTTTTCTGAGTGTTATATATGTTGTTTTATGTTTTGCCGCCCTATAAGGGCATAGTGTCTTTGTATTGTTCTATTATTTTAGTATATATAATAAGTGAAGGGGCGGCCAGAATTATTGCTCTCTTTTCTTTCAACTTCTCTTCTTCTCTTCTTCTCCTTCTCTCTTCCTTCTCTCGTCAAGAAACTACTTTCTTTCATATTTTTTTAATTCAGCAGATTTCTACTCTTGGCATTAACATACAAGTGTCAATAACAATTCATTAATTATAACAATAAAATTACAAAGAGGAAGACAAACTCTCTTATCTTCCAAAAATAGCTTGAGCCCCAACAAAGGAAAAAAAGGAAAAGAGAAAAATTAAATTACATCTGTGCCCAGAACATTGAAACCCTGTCCACCCCTTGTTTAGCTAACCCATCAGCAAAAGAGTTAGTTGATCTTTTAATCCATCTGACTTTAACTTTCATTTCTCGAGTCAACCATCTGAATTTCCTCCTCACATTGCTATAACTCCATAAACCACTGTCATCTTTATTCAGCCAACCTACCACTATCTCCGAATCCCCTTCAATTATGAGTTTCCTGATATCCATCTCCCTAGCTTTCTGAACTCCAACCGTAGCTGCTTGGATCTCCGCTCTGAGAGAGTCACCCACTCCAATTGGGCCTGAGAACATGGCAGAAACAACCCCATTCTCATCCCTGAATACACCTCCAATTCGATACTTCTCTCTATACCTTGCTAAAACCTATTCTGCCCACTTTCACTTGTGGGGTAAAATATCTTAGACATTCTCCCTTCTTCTTCTGTTATCCATTGTTTGATATATAAGTTAAGTCTGGTATGAGGATGTGATTCCCCAGCTTTTTTTATCACTCAGATGATTATTTTAAGAGCTCCACTTGCTCAATAAACTATACGCAAGAGAATTTATCATGATGTCTTGTTATGTTTTCTGCAAAAGGCATCTTGAAAGGTACAATTCTGTGCACCACCTTTTCTTTCATTGTTCATAGACAAGCAGGGTTTGGTTTGGTTGCCTGGCAAACTAAACAAGGAGGTTTATTCAATCTTGGCAAGTTGGGATTGTACCTTCTGCAAAAAGTCAAGAAGACTCCCTTTGATCTACCATCTATAACCTTTGGCAGAAGAGAAACCAAGTGAATATTTACTAGTGCAGACATGGAGGACAATCTTATTATTGTCATGGTTGATAAAGAATACAGTTCATAGATACTAGGTGATCAATATGAGTAATTCTCTACACGGGTTCTTTAGTTTGGAGGTGTTTACCATGCACTTAAATTGGATACACTGATTGGGTTTCCTGGAGTGTGGAGTCTCACAAATAACGATGAGTACTTATGGGTCCTATTGAGATGTAAAGGCTGGTTTCCAGAGTATTGTAAATGGGTTTTCAATTGGATGTGAGACTATTTTGGTTTCATCCCATGAAAATGTAATCTTGAGCAATTGAGATGCATGTTTAAGCTTAGGATTCAATTAAAAATCTCAGCCAGCAGTTAACCTCTTAAACCATAAGAATACTTGACCTTGGGATAGTCTATTCACTTATTCAGGTTATCAAAACTGGTTAAATTTTCAATAAAAATTAAGTAGGTGACCTTTTAGTACAATTCAAGAGTAGCCAATCAGGTTTTCCTAGATTTTGCAATAAGATAGAGGAATTGATCTTGGCCAATCAAGTTGGTCTTATTTCTATGTGATTTTTCTCCAAGGTGAACCACATTTCACCTGATAATATTGGAGCACATAAATACCCCAGTTCTTTTCTCTGTCCTCTGGAAAACATAGAAAACGAGCTCAAAAATAAACAGTTTTGGTTTATTGGGAATAAAGATCACCAAACGTCAGATGAACTCAGCCATATCTTAAAATTGGTTGAAGTTACAGTCAAATAAATCGGAAACTCATTTCTTTTTGCTTTTTGGATATTTTTAGTTTGCTGGAATTTAGAGTCAAATAAATGGGAAACGCATCTCTAATTGGAGGGGATGAGCATTGTTCTCCGTTAGAAAGGAAAACTCTCCCGCATAGGAAAAAAAAAAGATGACAAGGGTTTCCAATTTCCTAATTTCCTTATTAATTGATGTTTTCCTCACAAAGTCATAAGCGAGCATAGTTAAAGGAATTGACGACGAACCAGTGAGACTATTTCCTATTTTTGTTCATAATTATTATTATGGTACTTACAACACAATCCATTTTGTCCTTCTTCCATATCTAATCGTTTACAGGGGTGAAAAACACCTCAGTACTCTAACACTTTATTTCAGAGAAGATTGGAAAAAGAATAACAAGAAGAGGCAGCAGAAGCAGCACCATCAACTAACCTTATCAAAAGAAGAATCAGGCTTCTTACTTCTCGCTATGACCCTGGAATGCGTATAAGCAGACGAACATGAACGACATGCAGACGAAAACACCAAGGCCGATTTCATAGTTTCTTCCTTTTCAACCCCATCAACCCCCTTTGCTTGTCTCTGCACTCCAAAACTGCGTGTTTATAACTCTAGTCTTCCATCATTAATCATTATGTGTGGAGTTCACTTTCGCTACGACAGTAAATGTGTGCTTGTTTGGGCTTTGGAGTGCGTCCATCGTCAGTTCGTCACCGGAGATGGACGGATAACTGTTACTCGTCTCTCGACCGTTAGATTTTTTAACTCTTAGCAGAAGGGCGTGATTATTTTAAGGCAAAACATCATATTTACTTACTCAAGTACCAAAAAGAAAGTCAGTTTATAAAAGAATAAAATATTCAAGTGAAAAAAGAATAAAATGAAAAACTAGATACAATTTTAATTAACTATAATTTTAAAATTCTAGAATCATAATCGCTGAAATTGTTATCGCCCAAACTTAAACTAACTAAAAGTTAACCACCCGAAAAAAGTAACCGGCAAAACTGTTATTATCCGGAACGGTGAGTACCAAAATTATTATCGCGAAGTGGAATCAACTGGATGAACTAAAACTCTTGGAACCGTTGTTGCCAAAACTAGAACCAATTGGAATGTTAACCAGCCGGATTTGTTATCATTGGAACTCGATCCACCCAGAATTGTAAGTGCCAGTGAAGGAAAATAAGGAAACAATCACCAACGGTAAATCAAAGTAGCGATTAAGGCCACCGCCAAATACTTCGTCTCTTGTACTAAAATCGCTGCAAAAAGAAACAAAAGAAAAAACAAGGTAAAAGAAAAAAAAAGAAAAAGAGAAAAAACGAAAGAGAGTGGAGGATTAGACCGAATTAATAAAAAAGAAGAGAGAGTGAGAGAAAGAGATAAGAGAAGAAGAAAAGTAAGAAAAAAGGGAGAGAGTGGGAAGAAAATGAACAACTAAAATGGAAAGAAGAAAATAACCCGAGGACAATCCTGAGATTGAGACTTTCTCAAAGAAAAAAGAGGGAAAACCTTTGGAAACCCAGAGATGAAGACTCTCTTAGAGAAGATCACGTGATTTTGCAGGTGCTACTCAAATAAATAAGTAAATACTTATTTAAATTAATTATTTATACAACTATATATATACTAAAATAAGGAAGTTTAGGAATTCTTTTTTTTTGAATTTTTTTTCATTCCATGACATTTAAAAAAAAATAATGAGATATTCTCCTTTTTCATAAAAATTAGGATAAAATCAAAAACCTTTCCTAAAATTATTAACAATCATAAAAACTTTCCCTATAGTTTCATTTTAACAAAAACCTCCCTTGAACTTAAAGAATTCAACAAAAACCTCTCTTCTATCACTGGCCTAGACGGAAAGTGTTAAATTGTTGCATCAATTTCTTTCAAGTACCTATTTTACTCTTTTACAAATTAATTTACATATATTTTTATTGAAATACCCGTGTTTGAAACTCAACAAAAAAATCTCTTTACATTTGGCAGAGCAACAATCGCCCTAGGGATTTGGCATTAATGATGTCCCCCTCGATCCACCCTCTACTAATCTATCGTAAGTCGTTTGGTTCTCTTCTATAAGAGTAAACACAGAAGAGAAGCTTGGCTTTGGAATCGTAGACAAAGAAAGGAAAGAGATGTCTTGAAAACTGTAAGCTAGGTTTCCTCTTGATAGCAGAAACCTTCTCGAACTAGAATTCCTCCTTTCATGTTCATTAACAACTTGTTTTGTTCAAATCTCTTATACCCACGTATAATTGACTCAATCTCCTATAGTGGAAGAATAAGAAAAAGAAAAGGTTGAAACCTGGGAACGGGAGTTGAGGGAGTGCGATTGACGATTGCAACTTATGTAGGAATCATCACTTGTGGCCTTATATTCATACTCGATGTCCATGCGACACTCCCAATGCTTTGACAAACCTCTCTATCTTCGTCTCTTTCCCCCTCTCTTCCACATTTCAGCTCAAAAATATCTAAGGCTACTTTACGCTTTGTCTGGAATAGAAGGAATTGTCTATCAAATTGGGACCAACTCAATTCATTTCCATCAAAAATTCCACCTTGCTGGAACTGATTACAAGGTAGTAAAATTAGAATTATAGAGAAAACAAGTAAGGGAGAGAACTGATTTTCTCATGCAATTCGATTCATTACACATGTGGTATATGGTCCATTACCTGCTTGCTGCTTCGTGTAAAACAAGCACCCACATTCATTACCTAGACGATAGAAAAAAAAAGGTTGTGGTAAAGCAAGAGAAAAATCTCATCAAGTTCATAAACTTGTCATCGCATCGATTGGATTAATCAAATGTTTAGGATAAGCCAGGTGGAAAAGTGAGAATTTTTACTTAATAAAGAAGTTCAAATTCCTTATTTTCTATTTGCCACCATTAAAGACAAAAGTGGAATCCCAAATTTAATTTAATGGAAATTCAAAAGGGTGAAAACCAGGGGCTTCAATGGATTCGAAATACTTACTACGAATGAGAGGTGAAATCATATCAGAAATCCTCCTTTTTTGAGTTTTAAGTAGAATGTAGATATCCGTGGATGGGTTTCTTTTTTTCAACTTTTCATTTGGGCATCTTGATCCAAAATTATAGTTCATACTGTTTACTCTCTACATGGGAATCTGGTTGAAATTATAGTTCATACTGTTTACCTTCTTCTGAAAGTGAAAACCATTATAAAGCAACAATTACTGACCAACACTATGACAATTGGAGCAATCTATGTTTTGTCTTTATGAGATTCGTGAATCGGAAGCGTCCATTTTGGTCACAAGTGGCGGGATTGAGGTGTTGACAAGGAGATTTTTTTGTCAATTTTCATATAAGGGTTTTTCAATACAAGTATATGCAATTTGCAAAAGGGTAAAATGGGTATTTGAAATAAATTGATGAATTGGTTTAACATTTTCCGTTTGGGCTAGTGATGAAGAGAGGTTTTTATCAAATTCTTTAAAAGTTTAAGGGAGTGTTTTGTTAAAGTAAACTATAAGGGAAGTTTTTATGATTGTTAGAAACTGTAAGGGAGGTTTTTGTATTTTATCCTAAAAATTATCTAAAATCTCTCTCTCTCCCTCTCTCACCCACACATTCCCAACAATCTCCTTTCCTAAAATTTCTCCTAAACTACATCCCTCATATTCTTCTAAATGATCTCCAATTCCTATTATTCGGGTCATGACTGAGTTGGTCCTGCGAGACACGTGGCCGCCCAGCTATCGCTCTGCCATGTCACCCTAGCTCAGCCGAGCTATACTATTACTGTGGCCCCCCATCTTATCCTTCCAACCACGTCAACTACACGTCATGCGAATGAGCACAGTTACAAATAAGGAGTAAGGAAAGACGACTCCGCTAGGGAATGGGACTCTATCTCGAGTACCTCGACAGCTAACCTCACCCCGACATGGATCTTCGGCTATAAAAAGGCACTCCATGCTCGAGGTAAGGGATCCAACTTCTGAGACCAGTACAGCTACTTAGCTCGACCAACATCCTCATAGCTCGGCCCAACTACCCACCACCTCTTACATCGGAGTACTTACCCAGGGATAACTCCTCGAGCCTCTGATTTATTTCTTGATTACAGGTCTTGAAATGTGGCCACGTCCTTGTAGCTCGGCGTCGCCCTGTCAGCAAGGACTATTTGGTTGCTCTCCTCAGTTTGTGCACCACCTCGGATTGAGCATCATCAGATTGGCGCCATCTGTGGGAACGCACAAAAAGCCACCCCAAAAATCTTTCCTTAGCGCGCAATCAAGAAAGCGATCAAGATGCCCACGAACCAGTCTGAGCGTTCAACAGGCCAATCCCCGTCTCGAGAGTCTCTTCATCGCAGTTCTCCGCATCAAGAAATTCCGTAACCCCCAGCTGTAGTCGATCCTGAGCAATTCTAAGCAATGCAAAAAAAGTCGACAAGATCTTCAAAATGATGCAGAACCTAGGATCCGCAGCACCACCTAGCAAGACCGTCCCCCCTTACATACCAACGCGCACGAAGGATGATCTTCGTCCCGAGGACCCCAAAGCGCGCCAAGCAAACAAGGGCATAGCACGATCCAACCAAGAAAAGCTAGATACGACAAGAAGGTTGGCCTCCTTCGTCCGCTCTCATAGCAGGACACACCAAACCATGTAGATCCTGACCAAAGAGAGGCTCGACAGACAGACGCCACCTCATGTGGTCTCCACCGCCGAGTCTAGCTCCGTGAAGGCCCGGGCAGCGTGCCCCAAGAAGGAAAGGGTGATGCACACTGCGGCTCCGAACCAAAGGGATGACGAGATTCGAGAACTCTGCTAGCGCTTAGAGGAGTTAGAGAACAGCCAGAGAATCACGGCGCCAGCTGAAGATCGGCCTACGCCACCACTCGTGCCCATGGCCAAGGAGCCACCCTTCACCCAGGAAATTGTGGATGAGGTACCTCCCACAGGATGGCGGGCCTTGACAAGTACAATGGAAACACTGATCCCGCTGACCATATCGAAGCATTAAGGGCTCAGTTAATGTTGCACGGATCCTCCAAGGGCTTGATGTGCAAAACCTTAGTGGCCATTCTCGCAGGTCCAACCAAAACTTGGTATTCCTCCCTGCCCCCACGCTCAATAGCGTCGTGGGAGCAGCTGGAGACCCAGTTCCGCATTTAGTTCACAATGAGTCAAAATCATTGGAAGACCTTGGCCAGTCTCATGTAGGTGCGATAGAAGAAAAATGAGTCTGTTAGGGACTACCTGGCCAGATTCAACAAGGAAGCACTACAGGTCAGGAACCTGAACTAGTCTGTGGCTGTCAATACTATCCAGCATGGCCTCCGCCCATCCCCATTCAACTTTTCCATCTCCAAAAACCCTTCGCAAACCTTGGCTGCGTTGATGAGCCTTGCGTAGAAGTATATCAATGCAGAAGAAGTGCAAACACAACTACGGGATGAGGAAGAGAGGCCCGACAAGAGGAGGAGAGATACCGAGGAGCGAAAGTCAAAAAGATCAGACCGAGACCATAACAGGCAAGACCGCCGACCCGACCACAGACCACGGACACCCACACCGACCTATTGGAACTTCACGTTGCTCAATGTGTCGTGGTCTAAAGTTCTGATGCAAATCTGCAACCGCAACTACGTTCATTGGCCTGAGAAGATGAAAACACAAAGCAACAAGAGGAATCACGACAAATATTGTGAGTTCCATAGAGATCATGGCCACGACACAGAGAACTGCTTCGACCTATGCAACCACATTGAAGACCTAATCAAGCACAGATACCACGGCGGATTCATCAAGAGCGAGAAGCTGACACTGGAAGAACAGAGCACGAAGGATGCTCGACCACCGCCCTGAGCTCCCTCTGCTGGTGTGATCCATGTCATATCAGGTGGAATCGTTGCAAGAGGGGAGAGTAGCTCGAGGCGCAAGAAGTATGTGCGACTATGCGAGATTGACAACCAGGGGCACAAGAAGAAGCGTGGCCAGACCATCATGTTCACCGACGATGACCTCCGGGGGGTTCAGACCCCGCATGACAACGCCTTGAGCATCACGTCCGAGGTGGCCAACCACGAGATAAAACGAATCCTTGTTGACACGGGTAGCTCCGCCGATGTACTCTTCGAGGATGCGTTTGAAAAGCTCGGCATCGACAAAGAGCGCCTCACCCCCTCAACACTCCCCTAATGGGCTTCTTTGGGGAGTCCCTCCTACCCACTGGGAGAATAACTCTTCCCCTACTGATTGGAGACGGTGACGTTACTGCGACGACCATGGTGGACTTCACTGTGGTTCGTTGCCCCTCTTCGTACAACGCCATCCTTGGTAGGCCGACCCTTAATGCTCTTCAAGCTGCAGTCTCCACATTCCATCTCGCTATGAAGTTCCCCAAATATGGTATAGGGGTAGCACGTGGAGATCAAAAAACTACGTGGCAATGCTACCTGCTCTCCTGCCAAGGACCACGGTTGGCCGCAAAAACACTAATGATAGAAGCTTATGACTTCCGAGATGAGGTGAGGACAAAACGCGGCCAACCTGTCGAAGACCTCATCCAAGTACCTCTTAACGAAGGAGACCCCGAGAGGATAGTCCAGGTTGGCTCTCTCTTAAATGACCACATTCGAAAAAAGCTTGTACAGTTATTGAGAGACCACGCTGATGTATTTGCCTGGTCGACAACAGATATGTCGGGGATCGACCCCGAAGTCCTCACACACCATTTGAACGCCGACCCCCGCTATCGACCTGTTGAGCAGAGGAAGAGGAGTTTCGCAACAGAATGGTGGCTGGTGATTGCAGATGAAGTACAAAAGCTACTCGACATCGACTTCATTCGGGAGGTCAAGTATCCTGACTGGCTGAACAAAACAAGGCCTACCCCAAAAGACAACTTTCCTCTACCAAGGATCGACCAACTTATCGATGCAAAGGCGAGCCATGAACTCTTGAGCTTTATGGATGCCTTCTCAGGGTACAATCAGATCCGAATGCATCCCGATGATCAGGAGAAAACAGCCTTCATCACCGACCGCGGCTTGTATTGCTACAAGGTCATGCCCTTTGGCCTCAAGAACATCGGCGCCACTGACCAATGACTGGTGAATGAGGTGTTCAAAGATCAGCTCGGCCGAAACGTAGAGGCATACGTCAATGACATGCTAGTGAAGAGCAAGAAAGCCGAGCAACACCTTGCCGACCTAAAGGAAGTCTTCAATACCCTTAGGAAGTATAAGATGAAGCTGAACTCGACCAAATGTGCTTTCGGGGTCGGCTTGGGTAAATTCCTGGGGTTCATGGTGACGCAAAGGGGGATTGAGGCAAACCCAGAGAAAATATAGGCCATCCTTGATATGCAATCCCCCCGAACCCACAAAGATGTACAACGACTCGTTGGTAGAATAGCCACCCTTAGCAGGTTCATGTCCAAATCCGCGGACTGGTGTCTGCCCTTCTTCAAAGCCCTTAAACGACCGAAGGACATCGAATGGACCAAGGAATGTGAACGGTCCTTTAAAGAACTAAAGCGGTACCTAAGTTCGCCGCCTCTCCTCACCAAGCCGAGCCCAGGGGATGAGTTATTGCTTTACCTCTCAGGCAGGGATGAGGTCGTTAGTTCGGTACTAGTCAAGGAGGAAGACCGGGTACAGAGGCCGATTTATTATACTAGTAAAGTCCTTGGCGGCGTAGAAACCCGGTACTCCAACTTGGAGAAAATGGCTCTGGCTTTGGTCACCTCGGCCAGAAAGCTCAGGTCGTACTTTCAGGCCCACACTATTCGAGTGCTCACCAACCAGCCATTTAGGCAACTCCTCCAAAGGCCGGAAGCATCTGACCACTTGATCAAATGGAGAATGGAGTTAAGTGAGTTCGACATCGAGTATGCACCCCGACCTACGATCAAAGCTCTGTCCCTAGCCAACTTCATTGCCGAGTGCACGTTCACCACCGAGGGTCCTGCCCCGCCGCCGCAAATATGGACCCTACAGATGGACGGCTCATCCAATCAGCAAGGCAACGGAGCTGGTCTTATTCTGCTTGGCCCGAATGACACGGTGTTAGAGCATGCCCTCAGGTTCGAGTTTAAAGCGTCCAACAATGAGGCTGAGTATGAGGCTTTGATCGCCGGGCTACGCCTCGCCCTAGACCTGGGAGCTCAGAGAATAGAATCTTTCAGTGACTCTCAGCTGGTAGTCAACCACCACGGACAATTTGAGACGAGAATGCCCACGATGGCAAGGAACCTACAGAAGGTGTATGAGCTTATCCAGCGACTTGAGCACTTCAACATCTAGTAAATTCCTCGAGCCGAGAACATAAGAGCCGACGCAATATCCAAGTTGGCTAGCTCCCCGAGAACCAACCTTGGAAAAACAGCACGGTTGGACACCTTGCCCTAGCCGAGCATTAGCAGACAGCTCTCCTTGTCCTCCCGGTACAACACGACTCATCCTGGATGGACCCTATAACATAGTACCTCTGTGAAGGCACACTTCCAGAAGATCGGATAGAAGCAAAGAAACTCTAGCATAGATCAGCCTGGTACTGTCTTATCCAAGGTCAACTCTATCGCCGCTCACATACTCTCCCCTACTTGAAATGTCTCTCCTCATCTGAGGCAAACTACGCCCTCAGGGTAATCCACGAAGCCCTCTGCTTTGACCTGAAGATCGACCATCGAACCACAGTTGTACATCGACCCCAAAGCAATGGGCAGACCGAGGTGACCAACCGAACCTTGTTGCATGGCCTGAAGACTCGACTGGACCAGGCCAAGGGGGGGTGGGCCGAGGAACTGCCGAGCATACTTTGGGCATACAGGACTACTCCACGGGCAGCAACCGGTGAGACCCCTTTAGCCTGACCTACGGAACCGAGGCTATGGTTCCTATAAAGATTGGCTCCCCAACCCTCCGGACTAAGCTCTTCGATGAGGACCAGAATGATGAGGACCTCCGCACAGAGTTAGACCTGATCGAGGAAGCCCAGAATCGAGCATATGTTAGGATGGTAGCACAATAGCAAAGGATGGCGAAGTACTATGACACTAAAGTTAGAAGACGCGAATTCAAGACTGGCGACCTCGTCCTCCATAAAGTCATAGTACCCACGTCCAAAGAAGGAGAGCTCGGACCGAACTAGGAAGAGTCATATAAAGTCACCAAGGTCCTTGGCCTAGGTACCTACAGGCTTGAAGACCTGGATGGCTGACCAATATTGAGGAGTTGGAACTCGGGAAATCTCAGGATGTACTACTAGTAGACTTGTAAGCAATAAAAGTTTCATTTCTTTCAAGCTACATCTTTGACCCCAAGACGCGCACATGCCCACCGCACACACATGCTGAGCCGCACTGCCAACTGAGTTGTCTCCGTCGATCCCCGAACGACTGAGCCCATTACGCCCAGTTCGGCAGGGTATCGTTGACTAAGCTACTTGACTTAGCTAACAATGGCTGAGCCTAAATGTGGACGAAGAACGCCCCCGCCCACCAAGGCCTGAGGGCGGTCGAGGAACTCCGCACAACTGTCGGCTTAACAGTTGAGCTGGCTGGGAAACGACTAGCCCTAGAAGGGCCCCAAAGGCTCCCGAGATCGGAAATTGAGGGTCCCATGGCTGAGAACTCGGGAATCGAAAGATCTCGGGCAACACCTCAGTCGGCACAAGACCGGGGATGCCGAGGCATAACCTGGCCAGCTATGCCTCGGCTAACTATACCTCATTCGGGACAAGATCGGGGATACCGAGGCATAAACCGGTCGGCTTTGCCTTGGCCAATTACACCTCGGTCGGGACAAAACCGGGGATGCCGAGGCATAACCTGACCGGCTATGCTTCGAACAACTACATCTCGGTCGGCACAAGACTGGGGACACCGAAGTGTAGCCCAGCCAGCTATGCCTCGGCCAACGAACTAATATCGCAGAAGTACAAAGAAGTCGCACAAGGCCAACAGAAAATGGTACAATAAGGCCAACAGAAAACTATACAATAAGATGCCAAGGCATAGCCTAGCCCGGCACATACAATAGTCCGCCCAAACATGCCTCGGTTGGGAAAAGAAAAAGGCACTAGGATAGCAACATATGGGCAGACATAAGAAACACTAAATATTCAACTCAAAATCGTTCATTACATCACTTAAGGCTCGACATACAGAGCCTAAGAGAAAAAAAATAGAAAAAAAATGAGAGAGAAGGTAGCCGCTCAATCCTCAGCAGTAGAGTCAACAGCACCATCAACGGCTTCGACCTCAACATCAGCTCCCTCGGCGGATCCTTGCGGAGAATCCGGATCGAAAGCACCCCAGCCCTGCGACTCATCAGCCAACTCCGGATGGCGGCGAAGGATCCTTCAACGGAAGAGATTGAACCTAGTCGCAAAGGAAGCTTCGGCGTATTCTCCATTTGCAACTGCATCTCCTCCGACGCCTTGTACTGGTTGACTGCCTCATCGACAGCCTCCTGCCTCAACCTGTCTCGCTCTGCCTTAAACTCGACAATCTCTCACTTCAGATCCCAGACAAGGCTGGCCTATTCGGCCAGCTGTACCTTTAGCTCGGCCACCTCCCTCTCAAGAGCGGTAGATCTCTCCCCAGCAGCCTGCAGCTCGGCCAACTAGGCCTTCTGCCGCGGATACTCGGAGTGTTCCTGTTCGTACAATGATCGAAGGTCTCGAAGATGATTAACCAGTGCAACCGCCGCACAAGCATTCTACAGACGAACACGGTAAGTATACTAAGAAAGAGAACGAAACACAAGGAATAAGGAGAGGGGACTTACTTGGGCTGCAGACCGTAGCAGCGCACACTCCAGGGCTCCGCTGCCGACCCTGATTGATTCCCGAGCTATTGACATTGTCATGATTCCCCGCAGAACCAAGCTACTGCCTACCTCAATTACCGACACGCCTACGGGACGACGAATCCCTTGAGGGTCGACCACGACAACGTCGTCCTCCTCAGCCTCCCGCTACCGGACTCTCCTTTGCCAATGAGCTACCCTGTCCCCGGAACGTGGCCTCTCTCCTGTCTCGGGACGAGCTTCCGGTTGCACACTGGCTCGCTCCTGCCTTTGCCGAAGTGCCTTCATCCGGCGAACAATCTCTTCCTCGCTGGCCATACTTATACTTGTAACACAAGATACCCAAGGTAAGTAAAAGGCTAACAAGATAAATTTAACTCTACGAACGAAGAAGTAAAGGAAACAGACCAGCCACCCTCTCCATTAGCCCGACGAGCATTAGCATCTTCGAGCATGTGTACGCGATAACGTCGATTTCATTGATCATGCTCAAGGCTGACCTCTCCTCCCAAGTGAGTGCCGACCATTGGGTTTGCGGCAGAGTCGTCCTCGGCTCCTGCAGCTCGGCAAGAAAAGGGGAACCCCCGGGAATGCGCACGAAGAAGAATGACTCCTTTCAATGCTTCACGGAGGAAGGGGCCCCGACTAACGACCGAATATTCCACCGAGTGGAGAAGTAATAGTACCCCTACTGGTGGTGTTTCAGCTAGAGCATAAAGTTCACCATCCCCAGGGTCAGCTCGATATCGCAGACAACACAGTAGGACATAAGGTCGAGCAAGAACCTAAAGGAGTTCAGCATTAGCTGCACCAGCAACACCCTGTACTAGTTTAGCACCTTGGTGAACCCCTCGCTCAACGGGAACCTCAGCCCTGCCTCCAAGCTGTGCTCATAAGCGCATAGTTCACTAGGCTGAGCATCAGTTGCCATCTGCCCGGGAAGCAGACACCTCATTTGGTATTCTACGGGAATGGCATACGTAGCTAGGATCCGAGCCATATCCCCGGGCGCCAAGACGCAGGGCGTGGTGCCAAACCGGTGACCTTCCTGTAGAGGAAGCTCCGCCTCTATCCCGGAGGGACCAGCCTCATCCACCTCAACTTTGACAACCACAAAATCTCTCAGCTCAGGTTCATAGTTCGAGCCGTGAGAAGAGCTGGAACCGGAACTACTAGAGGACCCGAAAGAGGAAGATGACTGATGAGATGAAAAGGATATACTGGGTAATTTATAAGAACTGAGGAGTGAAGGCCACTGAGCTATCTTCCGTGCTAGTTGCCGAGCTATCTGCCGAACAACCTCCCGAGCAGTGAGTGCCAACACCTTCTTGCAAGCAATACTAAGGATAGTGGGTCCCCCACATCTTCCCTTTTATAACCATTAGGGGCACAGACCGAGGAGACATCAACGGTGCAGATGAAGCACCTTTGAAAATGCCTCAGAAGACCTATCAACGCGACCAATAGCGTACGACGGGAAGCCTTGGAAACCGAAACGACATCCTCTATAGGCAGCGGTTACGCCTATTAATTGCATCGGTTCGACTACAGTACCAGTCCAATCATCGACGCGAAGACCCACAGTATTGGTCCAACCTTCGACATGGACCCTTGGCTAGGCCACTCAAGTCCTAGGCTAGGTCGCTTAAGGCTACAAGGCTGCACAGTAGTCTGGTCGAGCAACCCCCTCCTCGACAACATAATTGGGGGAGTGGTTCGGGAACCGAAACTTCGGTTATCATTTAAGTTCTGCAGCCGACGAGCGGAAGACTCCTCGGCAATGATTGACATGGCACGGACGAATCGCAATGACCTCAGTTTCACTGCTTGGCAACTCCGAAGGAACCCGTCTCTGCAGCTCGGCGTCCAATGGCCGAACATCACAACCTCAATTCCGGAGCTCGATGCACCATGGCCGAGAATCACCACGACACCAAAGCTCGACTTCCACTTGGAATCACATCCCTTCCTCGACCCCACCAGGACGGACTTGGAAGCTCAGTTCGACACCTTGGCTCTCTGCCAAGCTACACCACCGCGCAACACTTCGGGCCAGACACTCCCCATCCTCAGTTGTAGGACTAGGGAGTGGTTTGAATTCCGAAGTCAGAGCTTTTAGAGTTCTGTAGCCGACAATGGGAAGATTCCTCGGCCATTCCCCATATTGTCCGGTTCTCAAGATTGCGACAGTCACCGAGGAACACCAAGAGGGCCAGATGCCCATCCAGACATCAACTTGAAGTTCTTCAGTTGAAGAACAAATTGGACTACTTCATCCCTCGACTTCAGAACTGGGGGAATGGTGTTCGGGTTATGGCTGAGCTGGTCCTGTGAGACACGTGGCCGCCCAGCTATCGCCCTGCCACGTTACCCTAGCTCGGATGAGCACAACTACATGTCAACTACATGTCATGCGGATGAGCACAACTACAGATAAGGAGGAGTAAGGAAAGCTGACTCTGCTAGGGAATGGGACTCTATCCCGAGTACCTCGGTGGCTAACCTCATACCGACAACCCCGAAAGCCCAATCCGGCCAGGACACGGATCTTCGGCTATAAAAATGCACTCCATGTTCGAGGTAAGGGATCCAACTTCTGAGACTAGTACTGCTACTTAGCTCGGATCAGCATCCTCATAGCTCGGCCCGACCAACCACCACCTCTTACTGACTTGAGCGTCGGAGTACTTATCCGGGGATAACTCCTCGGGCCTCTAACTTCTTTCTTGATCACAGGTCTTGAAGCGCGGCCTTGCCCTGTCAGCAAGGACTATCTGGTTGCTCTACTTAGTTCATGCACCACCTCAGATTGAGCAACATCACCTATTTATTTCCTAACTTATTTCTAATTTACTAGAGAACTAGTGAATGACCTCGTATGAAGTTTTTTTTTGTATATATATATATATTATATATATATATATATTGATCATCAATTTTTGAATATACTATTTTTTTAATTTAAATATTATTTGAATTAATAAGTTTCAACCTTTCTTCCTGTCATTTCCTTTTTTTTTTCTATTCATTTTTTCCCCTCTATGTCCCTCACCTCTCTCTAATACATACTAGAGAAGAAAGAGGGGGGAGGTGGATTGAAGGAAAAAGAACAATGGTTAAATAAATAAAATATATGTTCCGAAACTATGGATCTACAACTATAAAAACGTATCAATGAATGAAGAAAAATGGCAAGGATGAAGTTTGTAGATACTGAGAATTATATAGAAAATAAAAACAGAGAAAAAGAGAAAGATAGAAGAAAGAGACAGACACCAAAGAAGACTCTTGTTCATGAGTACTTCCTCCATGTGACCATCTGAAGGGATCCATGACATATAGATAACCATCGGAATGCAATGGCATAATAGGTAAGTGAGAGGAGACCCCTTCGTCTCCTCCAAATCCTTCATTGATGCTTAGGTGTGGCGTGAGAGAAAAACCCAACCAGTTACTCGGGTTCTGGTAAAAAAAGAAGTCACGTAAGCCCAAATATCTATCCTTCAATGGTTTGTTTTTTGAGTTCAAACTTCATAGCTGAATTGATGAATTCAAGTAATAAGTTAACAATAGAAACTGAAAAACAAAGGAAAGCCTAGATAGCCCATCATCTTCCACCAATACATAAATTTGGCCCTTTAATACTCATCTTTGATGCATGCATTTTTTATTACAATTAAAATGAGCTCATGCATCCTATTTAATTCATCCTTCTCAATTTTCACTACTTTCTCAATATGTTCTAAAGTCTCTTCGAGGGTCCATTGCTTCCTACTTGACCTTTCTCTTGAAATCACCCACCTTTTTTCTAGAGTAAAAGTACATGACAAATTAGTAATTAGGTAACAAGTTGATATAATGCACAACTATTGTTTTTTATGCAAAATTATCTTATAAGTGCATTAGACCCAAGCATTTTCCATAGAATTCATCTCGCTTTGATAAAAATACTCTACAAACACCAACTTTGTAAAGGCAAAACTTCAACTGATCTTGCCACAAGAAATGATTACACCATCTTGACTTTTCATAGGACAATAAAAAGATAGGAAAATTCCCAATTAGTACCCTGTACTTTGGGCCTGAAGCCATTTTGGTCCCTGAACTTTAAAATATGACAATTCAGTATCCGAACTTTCAAAGCGTGACAGTCCAGTACCTGCTGTTAATTTACTGTTAACCAGCCGTTAAGTAGCATTTGAAAAAGGCACAAATGCCCTTCGAGTGTCATCTAATTTTCTTTATCAACCATTTAAACGTTGATAAAAAGTTAACAGTCCCAAATCCTTGCCATCTAATTTTCAAATTGGGGTGTTAAGTAGCCCCCATTCAAGAAAATTGGGGTGTTAATTTTTTGTCATCTAATTTTCTTGAATGGAAGATGCAAGGATTTGGGACTGTTATTTTTTGTTAACATTTGGATGGTTGATAAAGAAAATTAGATGGCACTCAAAGGGCATTTGTGTCTTTTTCAAATGTCACTTAACGTCTGGTTAACGATGGGTACTGGACTGCCACGCTTTGAAAGTTTGGATACTGACTTATTGCATTTTAAAGTTTAAGTACCAAAGTGGCACTAGGCCCAAAATACAGGATACTAATCGGGAATAGGAGAAAATGTTATCTATATGTAAACACAACTTGATTAAGTAATTAAAACAATGACGAACATATTACTTTATACCTTATATGAGCATGCAAAAAAATTTCATCCATTGTTCTTAGGCTTGTCATGTCGAGATTTAAGAAGAATGCATTCATCTAACTCATACGGACATAAAACTCTCATACCATGCTTGCAGTTATAAATGGTACAATAATTCTACAGTAATTTACTTAAAAAATCATTATACTTTTTTCTATAAAATTCCTAAATGTTCTCAATTATATATCTATCTATTTTTTTTTCGCAATGGTTTTTCATTTTAAACCAGATAATTCTCCAAAAGCCAAAGCTCAATCTAGAAATATTTTCCATAATGATAAGATAATATCCAAAAACACAACATATAGGATCTCTATTTTTTTTCCAATCCAAATCGGTTTGTAGACATGTTGGTTATTAATAGGACATAAAAGGATAAAATGGGGTTTTCCAAAAAATTGAATAGGTAACATAAACTCGTATTTATGATTTTTAACGTTTTTTGATAGAATGGGCTCAAATGGTCAATCCACAACGTATATTTAATCCCTTTCACAAAACTCAGGTATGTTCAAGTCAATTAACCAGAAATAAGGGAGAACAAAACAAGATCACATCAGAGCTCCACGCGGCCATGTAGATGGAATATCTCCGTATTATTTGTTATTAAGAGATGTTCTTAATACACAGTTGGGATGTGTTGTGCAGCATCATGTAAACTCAAACAAAAATAATGTTTGAATTGAACTGTAACTGTAACTATAACTCACGCAGTCTGAATGGTAAAGTGTCATATATCTCCGTATTTTATGTCCAATTGAAAGTCTAGACCTGTCCACACAAATTCTGCTTGCAGTTACATATGCATAACATTTCATCCTCCTATATAATATTAGCGGGGAGAGATGTTCGTAATACACTGAATAGTGTGTTGTCAGTAGACGTGGGCAGGAGATCCAGAATCTCCAGTTCGATCCTATCCGTTTGTTGCCCCACCGTTTGGCACCACTTTATGATACCAGCCATACGTGGCTCCCATACAAAGATTAATTAATTTGGACGTACAGTTTCGTTTTGAAGAGTCCCCTTGCATTAATCTTATCTCAATTTCTTGAAATATTGTTACAGAGGATATTGACTTGACATCTCTCCCCGGTTTCTAATCCTAGATTGAATAAGCAACAATGGCTGCATCAGTAGCAGCGGCAAAGGAGGTGGTGTGCGTCACAGGAGCCAATGGGTTCATCGGTTCCTGGTTGGTCCGGACCCTACTCGACAAAGGCTACGCCATCCACGCCTCAATTTTCCCGGGCTCTGATGATTCCCACCTCCGTTCCTTCCCAGGCGGCGCCACCACCGACGGCCGCCTTTCTATCTACGAGGCCGACATCCTCGACGCTGACGCTGTTTCCAGGGCCGTCGATGGTTGCTCTGGTGTTTTCCATGTGGCTTCACCATGCACCCTAGAGGACCCCAAGAACCCTGAGCTGGAGCTGCTGCGCCCGGCCGTACAGGGAACCCTCAACGTTCTGGAGGCGTCTAGGAAGTTCAAGGTGAGGCGAGTGGTCATCACGTCGTCCATCTCCGCCATCGTCCCCAATCCCTCCTGGCCCAGCACCAAGCCCTTCGACGAGTCCTCCTGGACCGACCTCGATTACTGCAAGTCTCGCCAGGTCTCTCTCTCTCTCTCTCTCTCTCTCTCAATTCTTTTTAGTGGAATATAATGGAAGTGATGAATGCACTGGATTGAAATCTAAAGCCAGAGGGCTATCTACATCCATAATTGCAGCCATATGCGCATTTTAGAAGAACCCAAATTCAATGCTTTGATTGCTTTCTTGTTTTTACAGAATTCTGGCTGTAATGTGGCAGAATAATTCGATCCAGTTGACTATAAAACGATGATCTATACTAACACTGTCTGTTATGATTTTGAATAACGTGGGACCATTCACATTGCTGATGCTTCTCTGTTGATTTAATTTCATAAATCACATCTGAAACGAGTCTAGTTATTAGAGGCACGGGCACCTCCTCATGTGAAGGGCTTTCAACTTACAGCTTCTAATTTCCAATATTGAACTTGAACAGTAAGCCGAATCTCCTTCTATACTTATCATGTTCATTTTGACTAATTACAATTAGATAAAATATATTAGCTCACCCATAACTTTTGCTTTAATTTGTTTGGGAAAGGTATGCATGATTGCTACATACTTTTAGTAGGAAAGGTTAGGTTTCTTTTATTCTCTCTCTCTCTCTCTCTTATTATTTTACATAACAAAATGTTGTTCAGTTTAATAATATGATGAAGTCAATCTATGATAATGCCTTCAATTGAAAATGATATCCTATATGAAAGCTTGCATAATCATTTTTTATTGTTAACTGTTGGAACTTTATTAATATTGAAAAAAATTATATGAACAGAATGCTTAAGTCCTTTATGTTGGGTTAACCACCACTACCCAACCTGAAGTTATCTATTTCAATACCCCCCCCCCCCAAAAAAAAAAAAAACAAATAAATAAATAAAATAAAACATGAAGATATCTGTTTACATAATCATTGTATCGTGTTTTTCTCTCTTATATGTAAGAAATTATGATTTGTAAGTTATGCTGTAGATGGTCTATCAAAAATAAAAGTTGTGATATGGATATATAGTACCATGGTTTATACTGTAAATGTCTTTTCTGTTTTTGTTACAATTTCCTTAATATGATATATTTAAGTGAAAAGTCTTTTTTAGATATTCTAATTCTATAGTTTTTTTGCTCAAATTCTAATTCTAATTCTGTAGTTGTTATCTATGTAATCAGTATTGCTCTCTAGTTTTAAGGATTTTAAATTGCTTATGATATTACTTTCTTTTTTTCTTTCATCATGTACTCCCTTTATCACCTTTTCAATTTTGTAAAAAGAAAAAGAAACTATTGTATTGAAGATTTAGCTTCTAAATCAAAGTTATCCACTAGTAGAAGGCCACATAATGGAGGATAGGGGTGCAACTTGGGCAGGTAGGGTCAGCTTGAGGTCAAGCTCAAGTTTACCAACCCAGGTCAACCCGGCCATAACCTTACAACAACTCAGGCCACACTCAGGCAGGCTGGTCAGGTTTGAAGGTAATTTTGAATATGTTTTATACATTCATCTTTTATTGGGCTTTGTTGGCCAATTTGGGAGTAGAATGGATTGAAAATATGCATATCGTTAATGAATGCATATATACATATTTTATACATGGGTTCAACTATGATACTGGAAAAACTTGTAACCAATCAACCGGTATCATAAAAGTGGTAACCAATCAGGTTGTATTTATCAAAATTCATTGGGGGCTTGATTGGTCAAAGCTCTTCTGGTATCATAAGTTTTCCCTTTATACATAACATGTTTTTGTATAAACAAAATGTTTATATATATAATTACAAAAAATGTTTTTATATAAATAAAATGCATAACATGTGTGTGTTTGCACCTATTTGTGCATGGGTGTGAGTTTAAGCTAATCATATACATACAGTAAATAACCTAATAAGTTTAGAGTGTATAAGGTAGTACAAATAGGTAATATATACAAATATATGTTACAAATATACAACACAATATACACATATTTAGATGTGTATACCATGCAGTATTGGGTAGGCTTGACTTGGGTTGGGCCGATCTCAGGCTACCCAGGGTCTTAATCTAAGCCCAACCTGATTTAGGTCAGGCCTAGTCTGAAGCCCCAAAACTCGAGCCTAACCATGCAAAAGCTCATTGAACAGTATCAACGTGGCAACATCTAATGGAAGATGTGTGTTGAGCAGGAGACCAAGAAGAAGAAGAAAAGAAGGAGAAAAGAAGAAGAAAGAAGAAGGAGAAAAGGAAGAAGAATAAGAGGCAACTGAGTTAAGGCCTCAACCAAACTTAGCTTTAGTCGAGTGAAGCTTTCTATTTATACTGTTATGGCTGTACATAACAATATATATACAGAATTATGAAAATACCCCTACGGGTACTAAGCCTGTGTACAGTACATATAATACACYTGTTAACACTCCCCCTCAAGTTGGGGCATAGATATCAATCATGCCCAACTTGTCACAGAGACCTTGATGTTTGGAATAGTTTAGCCCTTTTGTAAATAAGTCTGCAAGTTGGTTTTTAGAGCTGATGTATGGAGTGCATATTTCGCTTGTGATGATTTTCTCTTTGATAAAATGCTTGTCAACTTCAATGTGCTTTGTTCTATCATGTAGTACCCGGGTTGGCAGCAATACTGATAGCTGCCTTGTTGTCACAGAGTAGAGTCATGGGTTTACCAACTGGAAAGCCCAACTATTCCAATAGATTTTTTATCCACATACCTTCGGCTACTCCGTGTGCCATTGCACAGTACTCAGCTTCAGCACTGGATCTAGCTACCACGGTTTGCTTCTTACTCCTCCAATTAACAAGGTTCCCTCCTACAAAGGTGCAGTAACCACTAGTAGACTTTCTATCACTTTGAGATCCAGCCCAATCCGCATCTGTGTAAATTTCAACCCTCAAGTGTCYATGTTTCTGGAATAATAAACTAGCACCCGGGAACTTCTTAAGATACCGTAGTACTCTCTCTGCTGCTTCAAGGTGGGTGGACCTAGGTGCATGCATGAATTGATTGAGGACACCAACAGCATATGCTATGTCTGGACGAATCATAGAGAGGTACAACAATCTCCCTACAAGCTTTTGAAATTGCTTCACATCTTTAAGTGGTCCACCTTGACTGTCACTTAACTTGTGGTTGGGATCAATGGGAGAGTCAGTTGGTTTAACCCCAATCTTTCTAGTGTCCTTAAGCAAATCTAGGACATATTTCCTTTGAGAGATGAAGATATCCCTTTTTGATCGGGCAACCTCAATCCCAAGGAAGTATTTGGTGGGACCTAGATCTTTCACCTCAAACTGAGTGGCAAGGAAGCCCTTCAAACTTTGAATTTCATCATTCCAGTCACCAGTAACAATTATGTCATCCACGTATACTATTAGGGTAGCCATTTTACCTTCTACTCTTTTTACAAACAGTGTGTGATCTGACTGACATTGCTTGTATCCCCTCTTTTGGACTGCAGTATGAAATCTGCTGAACCAAGCCCTTAGTGATTGCTTCAGCCCATATAAAGACTTCTTCAACTTGTACACCTTTGTTCACTTCCTTGAGCCAAAAAACCGGGAGGTTGAATCATATAAACTTCCTCTTCAAGGTCACCATTCAAGAAGGCATTCTTGATGTCGAGCTGATGTAGATCCCAATTCAGATTGGCAGCAAGAGAGAAGAGGACTCTAATAGAGTTCATTTTGGCAACAGGTGTGAAGGTTTCTACATAATCAACCCCATATACTTGAGTGAAACCCTTTGCCACTAAACAAGCTTTATACCTCTCCACGGTTCCATCAGCCCCATGCTTAACAGTGAACACCCATTTACATCCAACTGGATCCTTTCCCTTAGGGAGATCAACAAGTTCCCATGTGCCATTCTTATGAAGAGCATCAATTTCTTCCTTCATGGCCTTCATCCATTCTGGTACTGAGAGAGCTTCTGCCACATTCTTGGGAATAGGGATACTRTCAATGGAGGTAAGAAAAGCACGAAATGAAGGTGAGATGTTCTCATAGGAAACAAAGTTGGAAATGGGGTATTTGGTGGTGCACGACCTAACACCTTTCTTGTGGGCAATGGGAAGGTCAAGATCATTAGCAACAGGGAGGTTGGGAGTCAAGTTACCTGAGTGAGTATGATCTTCCCCCAAGGAATCTGATGGCATTTGAGGTACGACTTCTGGATTCTCCTCAGCTCTTGAACCTGATTGGCCTTTACGACGACGAGAAAAAACACGGAAAGGTGGAGGATCAGAAGGAGGAAGGGGAGAAGGAGAAGGAGTAGGAAGAGGAGGAAGTTGAACCAGTTTCTCCTCATACCTACACTCCCCCTGAGGAGAAACAGGAAAGAAGGGCTCATCCTCAAAGAAGGTAACATCCATGGAGACATAGAATTTCCGTGAAACAGGATCAAAGCAACGATACCCTTTYTGAGAGAATGAGTAGCCAAGAAATATGCATGGGATAGCATGAGAGTCCAATTTTCCCCGGGTGGGGGAAAGGTTTTGGACAAAACACTGACAACCAAAAACACGGGGAGGAATAGAAAGAAGAGGGGCCTTAGGAAAGAGAGGCTGATGTGGAGCTTTGTACTCTAACCAATGAGAGGGCATTTGGTTAATGAGGTATGTAGAACAAAGGACGACCTCAAGCCGAAAATGTTTGGGAACATTCATGTGGAATAGTAAACCTCGTGCCACTTCAAGAAGGTGATGGTTCTTCCGTTCAGCCACACCATTTTGTTGTGGCGTGCGGGCACAAGAGCTCTGGTGAAGTGAGCCATGTGAAGCAAAGAACTCCGTGAGGTCACTATGAAAAAATTCTTTTGCATTGTCTGATTGAAATATTTGAATTTCGGTTTGAAATTGGGTGAAGACCATCCACTGAAAATCTTGGATAATTTTTGGTATTTCCTCACGGGTTCGCATTGGATATACCCAAGTGTATCTGGAATAATCGTCAATGAAGGTAATAAAGTACTTGTAGCCACTCTCAGAAGGTAAAG